GAGGAATAGTTGAGAGGGTTTAATTTTTTTATAGTACTATTTTCTATGATCCTGTTGCACTAGGTACAGCATTAAATAAATGCTGTAGTTTGCAATGGGGGCACTGCTTGCATGTATTATTAAAACAGCATAACAAAAAGACTCTAGGAGTGTGCGATGAGAAAGAGGATCAGTTAAAGAGTAATTTTTTGCGTGAGAGGTCCTCAGCTCCTGACTTCAGCATGCTTTGAGGCACAAAGAGCAGCATTTATCCTGCTGCATACAATAAAGGATGATGCAGCTCGAACTGCAAAGGTTCAGTCCTCAGAGCCGAGCTTGAATTTCAAATACCTTTCAAACAAGAAGGGTACAAACTGGATTGCCTTTCTCATGGACGTCTCTCTCTTCCCTCCTTCTTGCCTGCTGCGTAAACCCCGTCCTGCTTCCTGTCGAATCAGTTCCACACAGGTTGCTGAAATATTGGCACCCTCGTGTCATTGCCTTTTTCCTCCTCCTTCCTGGATCAATTAAGAAACCAGTTTTTCCTCTTACTCTTCTCTGCTTCTCTTGTCTATCCTCCTCTTCTTGAGAAGGAAAACTAAATACTTATGATGAAGTAATCCCTGTTTGTTGGCACTTGCTGCTTCAGATAATTTCTATAAAAACAAACTCCCAATGTTTCTGAGGTTCTGCGCAAGCCGCATTACCAATTGAGTAACTTTTTGATCTCTTTGAGCTTCGCGTGTTCGCTCTTATCTGATTTTTGTACCAACCACTGCCGTTGTTTTTGTTTGTGTGGAAGTCAGTATAGTTGGAAGCATGTCTTTAGGAGATAAAGGATCTGATTTTTAAAACATGAAATGGCCAAAAATTTGCGGGTTTGTGCTTGATGAATTTGTATGTGCTGCTGTCATCATGGCATACCCGTATGAGGCGTACGCCAGTGGCAGAATTTGGCCATTTGCATTCAGTTTTACCAAATGGGCAGTAAAAAGTGTGGGTCTGCTCAGAAATTCATTTCATGACTTTTTTAAAAATCAGACACAAAGCATTTTTTCCTCTTTTCTGCTGAATCAGTTTCGAGCGCCTTGCCCTCCTACTTTGATGTCCTCTTTTTAACTTTAACCATGTTTCTTTTCCATTCTGTTTTGCATCTTCTCTCATTTGTCTTGAACAAAGTGCAAGTCCTAAATTATAGCCAACTTTTTTCTTCTTCCAAACATTCCCACTAAAATAGCATGTGTTTGGGGAATTTTGAACTCTTCCTCTGGGCCCTGTGCATGCAAAACACTTATATAACAAAAATAATAGCATTATTATTTGTATAAGAATGCATAATTAGCTTGCATATTTGATTACGTTATATGGGATCAGTCTTATCAAAAGTTTCTATTCATCTCTCCAGCATTATTACTGAGAACATATTCACCAACATGAAAGTAAGCGCATTATGGGTAAGCTGTTATATTAGCTCTAATCCAGGAATTTGAAGAGATCTGGGTTGGACTATACCGATTATGTTCTAAAAATTAAGTGTTGATTCTCATTGCTACTGA